GGGGGGGGGGGGCTGTGGAGCTCCACTTGGCCCAGACCTGATAGTCAGGGTGAGTTTCCAAGCAGAGGAATCTGAATGAGCAGAAACACAATGGAAACGACAGACAAAGGGTTTTCTCTGCAGCCAGGAAGCTCTGAGGTCTTTGTGGACATGGCACCCCTGCGGAGACCCAGGATTCAGGGTGATCGGTGCATGGGGTGGCACCAAAGATTTTCACAAGTGACTGGCTCCTTTAAGGGTTAACATGGGTGAAGAAAGTGTTAGGTAAGTGGTCATAGGCCTAGCCAACATCTATATTTTCTTATTTCTTCATTTATAATCACTTCCATATGTTATATCTCCACGGTGCTCATAGAAACCCCTCCCCCGCAATTAGAGTTGAAGAAATTTAGGCACAGAGAGGTTAAGCAGGTTGTTCAGGGTCACACGGCAAGCAGGGAGCAAAGTCGAGACACTTTTGCAGGTGATGGATTATGTTTCTTACCTTGATTGTGGTGATGGTGACATGAGCACATACGAATGTGCAAACTCATCACATTGTGTACATTAACTACGTGAAATTTTTGTATACTAATTATATAACTCAATAGAGATAGAGGCGGAAGGAAGGAGAAGAACAAAGGAAGTTCTTCTTGGGGGAGGAAATAGCTGGTGCAAAGGCCCTGGGGCAGGCAGGTCTGATGTGGGGATCTGGAGGAGGATGCCTGTGTGCCCAGGGGCTACTGGGGACAGAGGGCCATAGGCGGACTTGAGCGGCAGGCAGGCAGGAGTCAGACTGGAAGGCTGTTGTGAGCAGGTTGAAGAGTCAAAATTTTGTTTCATTAGTACTATTGTTGTTATTTATATTCTTCTCTCGGATGTCATGAGAAACCTTTTAGGTGCCCAAATGGCAGGGGAGGGCATCTGTGGTTGGTCTGGAGTCAGGCACTCACCTGGCCCTTTGTCAGGATGACCAGTCCCAAGGCCACCCCAGCTCGCAGTCTGTCATTTGGCCCCCAAGTCTCAGCGGAGCTGCTTCCAGCTCCAGCGTTTTCCTCCACATCTCCCTGGATGCCTCTCTCAGTGTCTGCCCTTTTAAACCACTGACGATCGAGGAAAGAAAAACCATTCGGCACTTGAACTCTGTCTCAGACGCTGCGAAGCACTTAGAGGCTTCGACAAACACTGTTCCTTGGGCCTTTCCTTCGGTTCTGCCTTCTCAAGTCGGTGTCTGTCATCCCCATCAGCATTCGAGTGCCCACTCGGCACTTCATTCCAAACGCGAAATACAACTGTCCTCCTGCCTCTTTTTTTTCTTCCACGGAAGAGGCTTGAATAAAAGGCCTTGCAGGATGACGCCCTCAGTGGTTCATCATGGCATCACCGGGTCCCCCCATCGGTGTCTTAGGAAGCAGGACTCCCTTTATCAATGACTCGCCCGCTTTCCTGCCAGCAGCCTCCCCTGGGGTCACGGTCCGGGAGGGTGGAGGGAGAGTCCCCCGGGGGCCCTCCTCTGAGTCTGTGACTGCATTTATTTGCTCAATAAGCGCATGTGAATGCCGGCCATCTGCCAGGCCCAACACAGGGCACCGGGGCTGAAATTAGAGACCTGCCCAGTCCTGGTACACGTATCAGATGGTAGAGATGCCGAGAGCATGGTGTGTCCGGGCGCAGGGAGGACCGTGAACCGGAGAGCGGCCTCTGTGAGCACTCACCACGGCTGCCCCTTCCCCAACACTCTTGTCCTTTGACCCGGCCAGAGCCACACTCCCACCTTTGCTGCTCCCTCTGCGTCCCAGGTTCCCCGGCTCACTGCCACCCACCTCGGGGCCTCTGTGCTTGCTGTCTCACTGCCCGGACCACCCTGCCCCAGGTGTGTGAACATCTCTGCTGCGGCATCTTCAGGAAGGAGCCCGTTGTCACTGTCTGTGACGAGCCCTGTTTTCATCAGAGTATGTGCACCGTCCACCAGTGTTTGCTTCAAGTANCATCAGAGTATGTGCACCGTCCACCAGTGTTCGCTTCAAGTATTTGTCCCCTAGTTTTTTCCCCCCCAAATCTAAAACCAAAAATATAAGACCATTAGGTCAGAGACTTTGCCTGTACCGTTCACCTGTGCGGGCCCCTCCCCCAGAATGGAAGCGAGCACATAGTAACCGCCTGATAAACATCTACTGAGTGAATCGAGGACATGAGAGGGAAGAATGAAGTTCCCGGGGAAAGCGGAGCACCCCAAGCCGTGGGGAGTTCGGCAAGGACACGCCGGCGTTTGTGCGTGAGGCCGTGGGCGCGTTGGGAGAGGGGCAAAGAAAGAAGCTGACCTCAGGGGCCTTCGCTGGTCTCAGCCATTTAGACTCCACCAGATGGCTTTAATCTTGGCGAGGTTGAGAGTTGAGAAAAATCGTTCAGTGTAGAGCATAGAATGAAAGGGGCAAGACTGGAGGGGGGAGACCATTTAGAGACTGTTGCCGCATCCCAGGCAAAAAGATGACAGTGGGGCCGTGACCTAGGCCGGCAGCCATGGGGATGGAGAAAATAGATGGGTTGTTTTGCAGGCACTAAGAACAGGGGAGCAGGGGCATCTGGCATGCGTGAATCAAGACAGCAGGTCCCGGTGCCCTGCTGCAGCCAGGCTCCTGCGGTGAGCCGGCCCTCCGTGGACGGCTGGGGCAAGGAGAGACCCTGGGACCGCGTCTCTGTAGGGAGCCCACCTCCTGGTCCTCAGCAGCATGTTAAGTGTTATCTGCAAACACAGCCGGAGGAAAAGGGCAAGATGTTGGATCCGGCCCAGTGCGGATGCTCCCAGCTCCACGGGAAGAGGTCATTAGCACCCTGACAAGTGCACAGATGGCTGTAGTCTCGAAGAGATAAGTCCAGAACCTCTTCATTGGACTGCAGACCCCAGATGAGAAGGGCTCCAGTGGCACTGAGTCTCAGGGCCCATTCAGTCACTCGACATGTAGTCATTCAAACAATTCCAGCCTCAGGGCTAGGGATGCAAACTGAGCTTTCCGGATCCAAGCCCAGCTCTCACGGGCTTGTCTAGTGAGGGATGCAGATGAGCAGGGGGTTGTTATCCAGTGTAGTTAGTGCCCAGATGGCAGCGGTGCTTTGAGAGCACACGAGAAGGGTGTTGCACACACTAGGAGAGAGAAAGTGCATCAGGGAAGACTTCCTGGAGGAGGCAAGATTTGAAGGGCAAAGAAGGAGCAGTGGAGGGTATGGCAAGTGGACTCGGTGGGAAGGAGGGAGCCACACAGGCAGTGGAGACCAGCGGTAAACAGGAGCAGGGCATATTCGGATTTCAGTAAAGGCAATTTGAGAACATACAGGGCTGCACAAGTTTGTTTTTTGCATTATTAAAATTCCCTCAAGGGGGAGGTGATGATGATGATAACACTGTGAGCGCCCTAGTCTTCCCAGATGACGCATTTCATAGTCACCGGACCTCAGAGACGTCACATGGATGCTCCGGGCGTCTGGTTTACCATCTGATAAATGGGCACAGGAATGTATTTGTCATAGTGTTTCATGGATAATTTATGTTAAATCACAAAGAAAGAAGGGCTCGGTGCCAGGGACACCATGTTTGTTGTTTGTTTATTTGTTTCCACAAACCACAGTGCCCAACCTGTCGCTCCACAAACGGATTCAGGTTTTATTAACCTTCCTTCTAGGACCTCCTGGCAGAGAGAGGAACCTACGGAGTCCCTTAGAGCTCCGCCTCCACAGCATGAGGGCCGTCACGTTCGCTCTGGGTCACACAGTCCCAGAAAGGTTTCCCACCAGTTAGGGGACGGCAGGTAGGAAGGAGACGCCATTTGGTTGGTCTCGCTGCCAAAGGAATGAGAAATTCAGGAAGTCGGGGGATTCATCTCTCCAGCCTGGAGCTCAGGGTGTCAGAGTGACTTGGAAGAGATCAGGCTCCGTCAGTGCTGTGGAGTGACAGTCACTCCTGGGCACAGCCACGCGCATCCACCACGGCGCATCCAGGCATCTCCCCTGGAACCAGGGAGGTCATTTGTCATGCAGTAAGCAGCCAGTGGGCATTAGTAGTTTTATCATTTGATAGAAATAGCCACGGAGGCTAGAATTCTACACCTTAAAGTTAGCATTTCTCTCCCTTTGCCTCAGCCACCGAGCCCCTGAAGCCTTTCCAACAAACCCCAGGATGCCACAGAACACAGTTGGATAATCACGGATATTCCTCACCCCCTAATCCAGGAAAAAAATCCTTCTACAGCATCCCGAACAGGCTTGCATCTGACTTCTGCTGGAATCCTTCCAAGGACAGGGAGCTCACCACCTCCAGCAGCCTCCTCCCCTGCTGGAGCTCCGGGTGCTAAGCCATCTTCCCTGCACT